TCTCTCTCTCTCTCTCTCTCTCTCTCTCTCCCTCTCTCTCTCTCTTTCTTTCTCTCTTTCTTTTTCTTTCTCCCTGGGAATGAGACCTCCAGGGCCTCATCAGTGCCAGGGTACTACTCCATCACTGATCTACACCACTAACCAACCAGGTTTTTTTATTCTTTCATATTTCATGCCCCAAAATAAGAATTCAATTGATGCTCCTTGCTTGACAAGATACTGTCCTGTTGCTTTTTTAATAGTGGTTCTTCCAGTTCCTCTGAGGAAAGCTAATATTCAAGAAAAGAATGCAGAGAAAGTTGCTCCTAATACACTGTGATTTGTTCTACAGCAAGGACTGAAGCTCATGTACCCTCATCTTCTTGCACCAACTGGAAGAGTGAAGACAGGAACAGACAGGGAAAGAAATGGTTCTCCCTTTTTAATTCAGGAGTTCATACTTGCATAGGCTCCTTCTGAGGAAGACCAGCTCATCAGTTGTTCTTTCCAGAATGTTCCTGAGTGAGTGGGAGCTCTCCTTGCTTGTCTTTTCTGGCTCCTCTTCCTGGAACTCCATCATCATAGGCATCACCTGGCTTCTCTGTCTCTGCCTTCTGCTTTTCTCATTCAGGATTCTTGCACAGATTGCATCCACTCCTGACTACAGTCTTCCAAGCTTAACTTGCATCTTCAGCTCCAGCCTCTTCCTATGCTTCATTTCTGCATTCCTGGCTGCTGCCCATTAAGTGATTCTTCTCGCATATCCTATAATCATATTAGATCTAGTTCGATGTCCAGTTCTAAATGCCCATCAGCACTCCATCCTTGGTGCACCCTGGCTGCTTTCCTGGTCACTTAGACAGTGTGAGGGGGCCCACTCCCATTCTGCTAATCAGTCTTGGCTCATCACTGTGCTCATTACTGGCTCTCATCAGCCTTATTCAGTTAGTGGTAAAGCTTTGCCAACTCGTCCTTCAAAATGCTTTATCTCTCAGTCCTTGTTTCTGTTCCCATAGTCAGCTTTACCACTGCAGTCATCTTCTTTAAACCGATCTCTCCAATTTCTCCCAGTTCCAATTTTTCTCAGGTCCTATCGCCTGAAACATCTCCTTTGCTGCCTGCTTTCACTACATACTTCCACTAGGAGGACAGCTCTGGAGGAGCACTTCAAAATGCTCCTCTCCTCTTGTCCTAATTAAAATGTCCCCCAGCCTCCGTGCTGAAATACAACATGATCTGCCATCTGAGCTGGGGTTCTCTCTACCAGGTGGCTTGTTGATTCAATTTGTTTGTCAATAATGGTTTTACTCCATCATAGCAAAGAGGCAAGAGTGGCTGAGAGTTCACAATTTACACAACTGTCTTGCATTTTACTAAGTTTGGAAAAGGTACCCAATATAGTTTTCCTCTGTGGTTCCAATAGTTAAGTTTTGATCTATTGGGAGCACATGAAACTCTACAATGGAAACATGGTTTTGCAACCCTTTGACATTATGTTAACGTTCCTACCTTTTCACCCTTTTCTCTTGCCAAGAGGCTAAAATTCAAATCAGTTTTGAGTTTCAGCAGCTCATAATTAGTTTTGGGAGCACCAAGATAGTTTAACCACATCTCATGTCATTTGTAAATGATACCATAAGAAGCTTTTTATTCTCCTTGCTCTAGACATATACAATTTATGCCTGCAAGGAATGATACCCATTGCAAGCAACAATGGGTTAAGCAAAGGTCAAGCTTCTTTCTTTTTGTGGCAAAAATCACTGTTATCCAGAGACAGAAACACCGAGGAGACAATGATCTAAAAGGAAGAGTGAATGTGGGTGGCCCTGGCGGAGGGCTAGCGCATGGATCCTTCCACCTTGTGAGTTTCAGGAAGTCAGTGACCATGTGTATGAGGCTGATGGGCATCTGTGGTCAGAGGGAGCAATGCAGAATGAGGTGGCATGCAGCGCGTTCTTGGCCATCTCTCACCATGTGTAGGGGTCTGGGTAGCACTGCTTAAGATTGGATGATTATACTGCCGATCACCTGAAAGTCAGAGAACAGAGATTTTTAAAGAAGTGTCCAGGTACCCCACTCTCTACTATAACAGCATCTCTTTGCCTCTCGTAAGCTGCTCTGACTCAAGGAAGTCCTTCTAAGAAAGGCAGGAGATAGTGTGCTAGGCTCAGAGAAACTCCCTCTGCTGTTTCTGTCTCTCTCCTATTGCAACAGGGCTTCCTCTGTCACCATGGTGACCCACACATGGCTCTGGGCTTGCCTGACTAGCTGCAGAAGGCTGTCTGGGGTGGGAATGGGTTGTGAAGGAGAAGGCTAGGGACTAGGGAACACATGACAAGTATGTTACATGGGGCAGAGGTCAGGGAAGAGGAAATAGTAGTTTTTTTTGGGGGGGGCAGAAGGGAAAGTATTAGAATGTGGCTAACCAGGAAGATGATGCCTCATCCTAAGGGATTTACATACAGGTGTCTGGATACATCGCATCCCAGTGTGTGACAAGGTAGCCTGTGAACTATCTACTGCTCAGAATAAGAAGTACTGGATTATAGCCAGTGCTGTACAAAATAGCCCAATAGCTCATGAGCACTTTTTTATTAATAATGCAAAAACCCATTTATGCTGAATGATCCACAAAATTGATACCCCTACTTTCCAAAGAGCAGAGTTCAGAATATCCCAAGGGCTTCTAAAAGATTTTAGTGAGGATTTGACTCACTACTAAACTACATTCTAATGTCATATTATTAATTCCACTCCATACTGTATTCTTGTTTTTCAT